CGCTCTGTGTGGGTGAAGGACAGCTGTGCCTTCCAAGGCGCCAGCCGCGGCCCAGCAGCCCCGGCGTAGGGGCCTGAGTTCTCACCGGAACCACCCCTATGGACGTGCCCCACCGCAGACAGCCTCCTCGGAGACCCTGCCAGCCAGTGCCAGGGCCCCGGGCCCTGGGAGGTGACATCCTGTCATCCACCTCGACCTGTGGCATTTGATTCCGTGGGCTCATCTTCCCTGCAGCTCAGGGATGAGAGGGGTGGGGGGCCAGGGATGCGCTCCACCCACCCCAGAATCCTTCATGAGTCCCCTGCCTGCCACCTGTGCCCCCTCCTGCAGCTTGGCAGGGTGGCACCAGCATCGAAACTGCACAGGCAGTCCCTCCAGCCTCTCCATCTCAGCTCCCTTGGGTACCAATAAGGAAGCTGAGTCTGAGGAGAGATAACTGACTTGTTCCTGCTCTTCCAGTAAGTTTGCATAGAAGCCAGACTTCCATGGTTTTTCTCTCCTAATTGAGTCTTCCCTTCACCCTCGTTACTGCACCAAAACCCTTCCCTCCGCACTTATGGCACCAAGTGACCTGATGCAGAGAAAGTTATATTGACTAAGGATTAGCAGACTGGCATAGTTAGCTCTGTGACCTTTTCTCAGTTTCTTAACCTCTCTTTTCTGTAGAACAGGAAAAAAAAAAGATTTTAGTAAGAGCAGAACAGAATACTCTGTGGGTGGTCACAGAGTTGTTTTGGCTAAATTTAAAAAAAGAAAAGAAATTGCCATCACCCTGGCTATGTGGCTTGGTTGGAGTGTCATCCCATAGACCGAAGGGCCACAGGTTCGATTCCCGGTCAGGGCATAGCAGGTTTGATCCCCGGCTGGGGCATGTATGAAAATACAACCAATTGATGTTTCTCTCTCTCTCTCTCTCTCTCTCAAAGCAATGAAAAAATGTTATCTGCTGAGGATAAAACAAAAAAAAAGTAATTGCCCTCAAATGGGTCAGAGGACACAGAAGTGTTAGTTTGGGGGTTCCCTCGTCATTGATCCCCCAAATCTGGTCCACTAGGAAGTGACTCAAAAGGGTTAAAATGGGGTTTCATCCCCTAGGGGTTCATTCGGGGTGATTTGTTTGGGGATGTGAGGAGTTGCTCTCAATGTCCCTGGAGGAGTGTTCCTACCAATGTGTGCTGCTGCCTTCTGCTGTTCCCACCTGTCCCACCGCACACGAAGCTGGGATCTGAGCTCGAGAGCACAGGACCTTCTTTCTCCCCACCCTTTTGGTTCAGAAGCTTCTGCAGAAGGCAGACTTCCCACTCGGAGGTGGCCTGGCCTTCTCCTAACCCTGCTCCGGTGCTCCCTGCTTCTGTGGGGGTGCCTGGCAGAGAGGAGGGGCCACTCCATACACATGGCGCCCAGCTGCCCCAGGGTGGGTAGGAAGGCTCAGGGCCTTCCAGCCCGGGGAGCAGCAGCCAGAGATGTGGCAGCCCCTGCAGGCCGGAGCAGGAGCGGCAGCATCTGTGAGGCAATGACAAGTGGCCACGGGGGCACCCACTTAACCCAGGATATAGTCTCTCCTGGCCAGAGAGACCATGACTTCCATTTCTTGAAGCCCCCAGAATACGTGGTCCCTGCAGTTTTACTCTCTGTGGTTCCAGTTAGCTGTTGTCAACTGTGGTCCAAAAATATTAAATGGAAAATTCCTGAAGTGAACAATTCATAAGTTTTAAATTATGCGCTGTTCTGAGTAGCATGGTGACATCTTGTGCGATCCTGCTCTGTCCTGCCTGGGAGGTAAATCATCCCTTTGTCCAGCGTCTCTGTGCTGTAGACACTACCTGCCTGTTAGTCGCTTAGTAGCTGTCTCAGTTATCAGATCGGCCGTCACAGCATCGCAGGGCTAGTGTTCAGGTAGCCCTTATGCTACTTAATACTGGCTCCAGAGCCTTCCTGCCTGTCCCGGGGCAGCCGGGCGCCAGCAAAAGTAGGGATGCTAGCAACTTGGAGATGCCAAAGAGAAGTCGTAAAGTGCTCCTTTTACATGAAAAAGCTAGTGCAGTCCTGGCTGGTGTGGCTCCGTGGACTGAGAGCTGGACTGCAAAGCAAAGAGTTGTCGGTTCGATTCCCAGTCAGGGCCTGTGCCTGGGTTGCGGGCCAGGGCCCCAGTAGGAGGCGCGCAAGGAGCAACCACACATTGATGTTTCTCTCCCTCTCTTTCTCCCTCTCTCTAAAAAAATAAGTAAAAAAATTTTTTAAAAATTGTTTAAAAATAAACAAAGGTTAGTGCAGTACAGTGAGATATTTTGAGGAGACTGCATTCCCCTAACTTACTACAGTATATTGATATAATTTTTCTATTTTTGTATTGTTGTTAATCTCTTACTGTGCCTAATTTATAAATTAAACTTTATCCTGGGTATATATGTATGTATAGGAAAAAAACATTGTCTGTGCATCCACTGGAGGTCTTGGAACATATCCCCAGCAGATAAGGGGTCTACTGTATTTTTAAAATAATAACAATAGTAAAGAAACAGGGCTATGAGTTGTAGTATATTTTAAGTGTTTATTTGCAACAAAATAACGCTTTTTACACCCACACAGCAGTGTGACTGTGCTATTCACAAGATAACAGAAATTTTAAAACAAAGCAAAACAAACCGCAGTGCACTAAAGGCTGGAAGTGGGACACCTATGTAAAGTTGTTTGTTGAGCCTCATTTTTTTTTTTTTTACCCCATTTGTATTTTCCTGGTTGGTATGTTAGCCTCATTTGAGAGGAGGTCAAGGCTGACTCTGAGGTCCCCCTCAGATTGGATGGTGGGGATGCCCCAGTGCTGGGCCTGGCGGTGGGGTTTCCACACGGGTCTCTCTCCCAGGACCGTCCACAGCAGAGAGCAGGCGCCTGCACGTGCTTGTTGGGTGGGATAGAGAGACCCCTGCGGTCCAGGTCGTGGGCTCTGTCCCTTAGTCACTTAGCTGCCGTCTGCACACTGCCCCCTGCTGGTCATCACAGAAATGGGTGACGCTGGCCTGGAACATCCTTTCTCAAACGATGGCCTGGAAGTCGCCAACAGGTCGGGGGCCTATAAGATCAAAATTATTTTATCATCATAATAAGATATTTGGTCTCATTTTCTCACAAATGTACATAAGGTGAAAAGTTTATTCATATGATTTCAGATGCCACATTAGAACTAATCTTTAAGAAACAAGTAACGGTTGAGTGTTGGCGCAGTGTGAAAGAATAGCCACAATTATCTGGAAAGGTTATTAAAATACTCCTCCCTTTTCCAACCTTAATACATATCTGTGAGAGTCTGGATGTCCTTCATGTACTTGCAGAAAACCACTGTTGCAAAAGAGTGAATGAAATGTCAGATATGAATATCCAGCTGTTTTTTGTTAAGCCAACTATTACCTTGATTTATAAAAATGTAAAATACTGCTATTACTATCACTAAGAGTTTTTGTTCTGAGACTATAGTTATTTTGTAAAATATGTGACATTCTAATAAGTTTATTAACCACGTTTAAATCTGCCTCTGTTTTAAGTATCTCATATTATAAATATTAATAGATATAGCCCATACTACTTGGAGTACTTAAGAATTTTTATAACAATTTAATGAGATACCATTCTCATACCATAAAATTCACGCTTTCAAAGGGTACAGTCAATTCAGTGGTTTCAGCGCGCCCACAACGCTGTGCGGCCAGCACCACCATCTAATGGCAGAGCGTTTTCATCCAAAAGAGACCCTGAACCCAGTCACTCCCCCTTCCTCCCCTCCCTGCTCCCCAGCCCTGACAATCAGTAATCTACTTTCTGTCTCTATAGATTTGCCTATTCTGAATATTTCACGTAAACGGAACCATACAATATACAGTCTGTTGTGTCTGACTTCTTTCACTTAACATAATGTTTTCAAGGTTCATCCATGTTATGGGCAAGTAATATTCCTAGTATGATAAGCCACATTTTATCCATTCATCAGCTGGATGTGAACTGTTGCCGCTTTTGGGCTATTATGAATAATGCTGCTAGGAGTAGTCGCGCACGTGTTTTTGTGTGGATGTGTGTTTTTTGTTCTCTTGGGCATGTACCTGGAAGTAGTTTCTGGGCCATATGGTAACTCTGTTGGACATTTGAGGAACTGTCAAGACTCATTTCCAACCTCAGTAATTTTTAAGGGTGTAGAGAAAGAAGGCCCGTGTTTGTGAACCCCGGGCTAGATAGAGTCCGACCCGGGGAGTGTGGAAACTCAGGACAGCCCCTGGCCTTCGCTCTGGGTTGATACCCTCAAAGTCATCCCCCCGCCCCTCGCCGGTCCTCTGTTTTCTCCCTCTAACACTTCTCCCTGGTGGCAAAGAGAAAGCCAGTATGCCAGACTGTAGAAATTAAACCACCAGAAGGTTCTGGAGCAGGGTCACCTCTCTGCAGGATTTCCCAGGGTGCCATTTACACCGTGTCCCCTGCAGGTGTGCGGGGTGGCAGTCTCGGCCGCAGCTGCGTCCGTCCGCCCTCCTCCCTGCTCTGCCACTGTGATCGCCGGCTGTGGCGGAATCTCTCGGGGAGCAGAGTCTGTGAAGACCTCGTTAGCAGAGCTGGGGAAGGCAGCTGGCTTCAGCCGCAGCCATCGCCTGGGGTCGCTGCTCAGGTCCCCAGAGGAGGGGCTGTCTAGCCCTGTCCCAGCCCAAGCCCCTCCTGCGAGGTGCTGTGCTCAGCATAGCAGGCGCTGTACTTGGAGGGAGCAGGGATCAAATCCCTCCCCGCCCAGGGTTTACCAGCTCAGTTGAAAATGCAGTGGCCCTCCCAGAGCTATGAGCCTTTGAAAGAGGAGCTTGGAGGGAACAGTACTGAGCTGGAGGAGCGAGTCTGAAGGTGAGACTCCAGGCGTCCATGGGCAACACACGGGCCATTAGGTTGGAAATGCCAATGTGTGGAGCCTGGGGGACCTGTCTGCCATCCGCACCCCAGCCAACGACATGCTCTTTTTCCTCCTCTCACCTCAGATGTGACCCCCCGGTGACGGGCTGGATGCTCCAAGCATGGCCGACACCATCTTCGGCAGTGGGAGCGACCAGTGGGTTTGCCCCAATGACCGGCAGCTTGCCCTGCGAGCCAAGTGAGTACCTCCGAGGCCCCGCCAGGCCTTCCCTTCCTTCCTGCCCTGACTCCCCTCCTTTCTGTGGCGAGATTCAGTCCCAGGGTCCCAGAAAGAGACGTTTGGAGACAAGTGCCTATCAAGACCATACTCCACGCCCTCAGCTGGGCACTGACCAGCCATTCGCACATTTAACCGCCCTATGGAATTTATCTCTATTTCGCAGGTGAGAAGAGTGAGACTGGGCTCCTTGCCCGAGTCACTTCCCTTGTAAGTGGCAGGGCCGGGACCCACACCGGGCCGGGACCCTTCTGACTCCCCCGCCTGTGTTATTTCTATCACAACAGGCCGCACGGAGCCAGGCCACTTGCTTTGCCTTCCCTGCTAAGAGCATAAAGCCCCCTGTCACTGAGTCTTCAGTCCCTGAGCCCCTGGGCACGGGGGCCTTTGGTCTCCCAGTTGAGTGCCTGGCACTGACCGGCAGGACAGAGCGAAGGCACATTGGTGAATGAAGAGCCACGCCCCGGGTGGCCGCAGACACACAGCCAGCCTCGGGGCGCCCCAGGGCTCTGCCACGCTCCTGTCGGGGTCTCTCCAGTTCTGCCTGGTCCCCTTGGGGTCCTGGTTTCCCTATTCTCTCTCGTCCTGGTGACCCCTCGGTGTCACTTTGGTCAGGCTGTCTCCACCTCCTGTCCCCCTGTGGTTGAAGACCAGGGCCTTGAACAGGCCCCTGTTGCCTTCCTGTCTCCCTGTCTCTCCAGGGAGTTGGAGGTCCCTGGTGTCAGAGCAGCCTGAGAGTCCCCTTCATCTATCAAACCTTGCCAATTACCAGAGCCAGCATTTCACAAATGGGACCAAGTTCAAAAAATTTGCAATTGGATATTATGAGCCTTCAGGGACACAGAGCTGAAACATCAAACGGAGAGAAAAAATTAATCCAAAATGCCCCAGATGAGTGGATTCCTGCCTGATCTGCTGTTCATTTGTCCCTCTCGGTGGGGTGGCTGAGCCCCACAGGGGATGAGACCAGGGAGGGAACTGGCCCCTCTCCCTGTCCCCTCTGACGCCAGGCAAGGTGATAGGTCCTGCCCGGCTGGGTCCCGGGAGCTGGGGAGAGCTGTGTTCTTATACCAGGGCCCTGTGTGACCCCTGCTACCCCTCCAGCATTTTCTTCAGTTTTCCCTGACCTTGTCTTGCTCTCAGCAGCAGCCAGAAGCTGTTGTAGCACCTTTTAGAAGAGCAAATGCTTTTATCTTCTCCCTGGGGCGTACTGCCTTGTAATGCCAGACTTCTTGTAATGCTGGCTCCGTAAAGGAGAGTACTGCAAATCCCCATATCCACAGCGCTGGGGGTCCCTCTGGGAAGCCTGGGGAAAGTACCTTCCCTGGCTCTAGCTCAGGCCTGTCCTTCTGTCCTCCAGCCTCTATCAGACGTTTTCCAAACTCCTGCTACATGCCTGGCACTGGTTGCACAGCAGTGGATAAGACCACAGAGGTCTTTTGTCTTAAGGGCTAATGAGTACAAGTGAGCATTATACACACAGTGACTCATGTGCTTTGAGAGTGGAAACAGGCAGTGGGGCTGAAAGGGGTGCTAACTTAATCGGGGAATTGGGAGGGGCTTCATTTAGAGTGTGATACTTACGCTGAGTCCTGGAGGAAGGGTAAATGTTAGATGGAAATATGGGAGAGGGGCTCCTAGAAGAAGGAACAGCATGTGCAAGGGCCCTGAGGTAGAAGGACATGGCATGAAGAGGACCCAACAGAAAGCCAGCGTTAACGTGGATGCACAGGGAGTGAGGCGGTAACTGGGATAAAAGGAAAACGGCAGGGGCCGGATGGGGCAGGCCTTGGTCGTCCAGAGACTCGCATTCTGCAGAGGAGGCAAAAGGTCCCAGCTTGCCTCCGAATGGTGTTTAAGCCCAGTGATGGAGCGTTGCCTGGACCATATGAAAATTTGGAGAATGGACTCTAAACCACCTTGGAGGGGATCAAGAGCCTCCTGGTGAAGAGCATGTCTAAAAATATAGGAGTGGGCCAGTGGAAAGGGGGTTCGGGAGAGGGGCACACCCCCCGGTGGAGGGCATAGAGCGAGCAAAGGCCTGGAGACGGCGTCCAGCCGGAACGCGGGGCGCTAGAAGCAGTTGTTGGTAGTGCTCACCATGCGAGGCCAGGGGAGCCGAGGAAGGAGGGCCCCCCGGGGGACATGCGAATGGGTGGCGGGCACCACTGCAGATGCTCAGTGGCAGCCGTGGCTGGAAGGGGGAGTGGGCCTCATGGAACAGGGCGGGGAGCCAGGGGGTGGGGGTCCCATGGGAGGCCTAGCGGGTGATCAGGTGGAGGCGGGACAGGCGGCTGGAAGATGCCCTGGGGGGCCCTGGCAGAACTGCCGGCTGCCTTAGACGGGAGCTGCCCTGGCCAGGAGGCCTGCCGACCCCTGACCTGCCTTTAGAAAGCCATCTAACTGTGCCCTGTTGCTTTCTACTCTGAGAGATCAGGGATCCTGCCTGGCAGAATAACACAAGGTCCAGCGGGGAGTCTGCGGAGTCCCAGGCCGGCACCGGGCCCGAGTGAGCTGGGTAGGAGCTGCGCCCACTGGGGCAGCCGATGGTGCTGCGCTGTGCCCCCTGCCTTTAACTGAGCAGGCGAGTTCCCCTCATTTATTCATCCTCCTGAGACCCGCCTGCATGTCCCTCCCCGTAGCACGTCCCCAGCCCCTTTTGAGCCTGGCATCACAGTGAATGCTCAATAAATGTGCATTGAATGACAAGCTCTTATAGTTTTTCATTAAATAAATATTTGTGTAATTGACTGGGTCTCTGTCTTCCCCAGCAAACTGTAGTTCTCCAAGGAGGGGACTTTGTCGTCTTGTCCGTCTCTGTTCCCAACCTGGCACAGAACGTCTCAGAGAAGCCGGGACCCAGGGCAGGGAGTGTGGGGCTTGGTCTGCTGCTGCCACCCTCTCCCCATCCAGGAAAATAGAAAGGGTGTGAGTCCGTCCCCTCAGCCCTTGGTCACAGCCACAGGAGGTGTCAGTCAGTGGAGTGGAGACAGCCGAGCCCTGCCACCCTGGGCCGGGCCCCAGCCCCCCGCTCCTGCCTGCCTGGCCGCCTCCCCTCTCACGCAGCTCAGCTCCCCTCCCGCCCCTGAACCCTCTGCTTCCAAAATGCTGTCAGTCTTTTATCCCTGAGGTTTATTTTAAACCCAATTGCAGTTCTTTCCTTCTCCACAGTAAACTCTATCTCACTTTTTCTATGACTCAGATCTAGGTTTTTATCCTTGTCTTGATCATCATCTGAGCTTCTCCCGCGACACTTCATGGGGGTGGTCTTGCCCATGTGTGCAGCGGGCCCGGTCTGTGCTCCACCTCCCCAGGAGCTAGGGTGGCGCTGTCGTCTTTGCGAGGCCCAGTAGCTGGTGTTGGTGGAGCTGGTGCATGACGTGGGGGTTGGGGTTTGTCCTGGAGTGGCCTCAAGGCCTGTGTCCTTCTCTCTCGAGGCTGCAGACGGGCTGGTCTGTGCACACCTACCAGACAGAGAAGCAGAGGAAGAGCCAGTGCCTCAGCCCGGCCGAGGTGGAGGCCATCCTGCAGGTCATCCAGAGGGCCGAGCGGCTCGACGTCATGGAGCAGCAGCGGATCGGGTAAGGGCTGCTCCAGGCTGGGTCAGGAGCAGGTCGGTGAGAGGAGAACCAGGGTGCACAGAGCCAGACCAGTGGGCTGGGAGCCTGGCCCCCTCGTCCTAGGGCTGGCTTTTCACCTCTGAGAGTGAGTCAGCTCTGCCTGAACACCCTGAGTGCGGACACATAACCCAGCCCATCAGAGCCTCAGTTACCACTCTGTGAGGTGGGGATAGCGGCTGATGTGGGGGCCCAGGCTGCAGAGGGTGAGTGAGTGTGGTGAATGTGTTGGGGCTGGTCAGCTCTGCACACGTAAGGGTCAGCTGTGGCCCAGCAGCAAGGGATTCAAGCCGAGGCTGTGCTTGGATCGTCCCAACTAAGGCTCCAACAGGAGACGTGCTCCAGCTTGTTCTAAGCTCTTGCCCTGGCCCGGCATGCAGAGTGGATGGCGGCACAGTCTTCAAATAGCTTTGTTGGGCCTTTTTTTCCTTTTTTTTTTTTTTTTAATTCATTGATTTGAGAAAGAGAAACATCAATTTGTTGTTCCACTTAGTTATGCATTCATTGGTTATTCTTGTATGTATGTGCCCTGACTGGGGATCAAACCCACAACCCTGGTGTGTTGGGGCAATGCTAAAACCAACCGAACTACCTGGCCAGGGCTTTTTTTTGCTTGTTTAATTACCAAAGCAATTCATACTCCCTCGAAAATATGAAAAACATAGAAAAGCACAAGAGGGAAACCCAATATACTGCGTTGCCTTGGGCAGGAATTAATTTGATGCTGATTTCCTTGTGCTTCTATTTATCTTTTTCTCTTAAATATATGATCATTTAAAAAGTCATTGTTCCTCTGGTTGGGTGGCATCCTCCTCACTGGACAGGGGAGGGGGCTGAGACGATCAGTGGAGATAATGTATCCCTGCTCTGTCCATTCATTTGAGAATTTTCACTGAGTATCCGCTGGCCACCGGACATACTGCTGCCAACAAAACAGAAGTGGCTGCCAGTTTTGTGGAGGTCACAGTATTGCATCATAAGTTGTCATGAAACAGGGGTCACAGTGGGCTGAGGGGCCGTGGGACTGCAGACAGAGACACCTACCCCAGGCGTGGCGGGGTTCAGGGAAGGGTCCTGGAAGGACTCCTTTTCTTTCTTTCTCCAGCCTCTTCACCACACAGTTGTTCAAACCAAAGGCCTCTTCGCCATCCTGGGCCTCTTCTACCTGCCTCCCCTCACCCCAAACCCATCGAGGCTGCCTCGGAAACGCAACCCACCCAGCCTCCATCCCTCTTCCCTGGGCCTCCCGCCACCTCCTGCCGCCTTCCTCACCTCCACGCCCCGCTGTGATCCTGAGTGAGATTTTAAAATGTCACTCGGCTCAAATCACTCCCCTCCTTCACGCTCCTCAGCAGCTCCTCGTTGATCTTAGCACATAATCCAAACTCCGTTTTGTAACCTACAAAACCCACGTGATGCGGCCCCCCGGCCCCTCAGCCTCCTTTATCCCGGACTCCCTCCCGCTCTCCAAAGCGGTGGCCACACGGCCTTATCATTCTAATGTGCCTGGCCCTCTCTCACCCAGAACATTCCAGACTGTTCCCTCCACCAAGAACGCTTCCTCCTCTGGCTCTTCACGTGGTTTGGTCCCTGTCATCCGTTAGCTCTCAGCTCAAATGTCTGCAGAGAGTCCCTCACTGATCACCTAACATGCCCCGGCCCCCTTGTGTCTCCGTCCCCCGCCCACTTATTTTATCAGTTTACTTGTTTCTGGACTGTCTCCCTTTGTCGAACATAAGTCCCATGAGAGCAGGGAGAGACCATGTCTGTCTCTGGCTTCTCTGCTACAATCTTCTCAGTGTCTGGCACTTCATGGATGTTCAGTTAATATTGGTGAGTGAATGAATGATTAGGGGTTACAGCCCAGGAAAGAGGTAGGGTAGGGACCAGTACCCCAGGTGAGGGAACAGCGCATGGGGCTTGGTGTAGCGTGAAGCCTCGTGGCAGCCATGTCCAGGTAGTGGTCAGGATGGGGACAGGAAGCACATTCCATCTGACTCGGTGTCCTGTGCTGCAGGCGGCTGGTGGAGCGGCTGGACACCATGAGGCGCAACGTGATGGGGAATGGCCTCTCCCAGTGTCTGCTCTGTGGGGAAGTGCTAGGCTTCCTGGGCAGCTCGGCCGTGTTCTGCAAGGACTGCAGGAAGGTAAGACCCTGCTCTGGCCTTGCCACCCTGGCCACCCAGCCTGGACCAGCGGCACTGCTGCTCTGTGGCCTTGCCTCCTGGCTCCCAGGAGTGCGTGTGTGTTTGTGCGTACACATGTAAGCACATGGTATCCTATGCTTCTTGGCAACAAGGATTGGAGCCTGAAGGTCAAATGGCCTGATTTCTAGGGCCAGCCCTGGGGAGTGGACCTATGGGTCTCACAGGCGCAGGTATGAATTCCACTTGACATATGACCTCAGAATACTTGTTTAGTATGTCATGCCTCGTCGTCCTCACCTGTAAAATAGGCATAATGATAATATCTACCTTAGAGAGTTGGGAGGAGTAAATATTATATGCAAAGCTTTTAGAACCTTGTCTGGCACAGTAAATACTCAATGAATGTTATTCGTTGTTATTAAGTAAATACAGTTTTCCTCAGAGTCAAATTATATGCTAGGATTGACCTTCCTATTCTGTTGGTCTGTTCTCTTGATCCTTGGCCATTCCAACAAGAATGATCTTTGCAGCAAAGTCAAGTGGATTTTCTTCTGTTCTTATAATATTCCATTAATTCTTCTAAATTGTGCCACATATTAAACTGTTTCATATTGAATACAATACATTTTACAATAACATTTCGTTTTTCCTGGAGTTCCTGATTGCCTTTCTTTTTCTGATTGACAAAAGAAAGATGTGCCTTCCAATCCACAAGATTATTTAGCATCTCAATTTTATTCTCTCTTACATGGAGCCTAGGTTTTTTCCTGCCAGAAGCCGCTCTAGATTCTCATTCTTGCTTGAACACAGACTAATTGCTGGGCAGCTGTAATCACAGGACTTCCCTTTACTGGCCTCCCAGGTTGGAGACACTGTTCCCAAGACACCATGTCTTTTGCTTTTTAAGTTTCTCATTCTAATTTTACTGGAACCAGTCTTCAAGAAACTTCCCTGTGCCAGTCGCGGCTTTAAGCCTGGAGTTATTTTGATGAACAAGACAGAGAAAGAACCTTCTCTCTTGAGAGTACATTGGTTGGGGGAACCCAAACATTTATTAAAAAATGATCAAATAATTAGGATTTCAGGAGTAATAAATCCTGAGAAGAAGTAGCAGGGGATCGACGACCGGGGGCGGAGTGGGTGGTAGGAGCTGAGAGGACCATGAAATATGGAGAAGTCAAAACCTGGAGGCCGCTGGCAGCCTTAACCAGGGCGTTCGCAGTGGCACATTCGACAGCTGGACAAGACAGCCAAGGCGCGAAGAGGTGAATATTCCCAGTTAATATCTGGAAAAAACAGGACTTTAGCTCAGATCGTTTTCTCCCTGCTCTGTGCCATCGGGAACTGGGCTGAGGAATGTGGATTAACTGGCAAAGGGTCCCAAGGACACTGGAGGGGCCTGGGTGCCGGGGAGGGGATGGGCACTCCTGTGCCAGCTCCCCCAAAGCCTTCCTCAGACCCTGACTGGGTACCAGCACGGGTGTGGGCGCAGGGACCTGTGCAGGTGCGGTTGTAGTTTGTGATTCTTGCCTGGGGGGTTGGGCCCCGGCGCCTCTCTCCGCCTTCTGCCCCTCGTGCCTCAGCTGCTGTGGCTGTTCAGGTTTGCGGGACCATGACGGGGGAGCAGGGCCTTATCTCCTGCCCGTAGAATGGCCTGGGGCCCTGCCACAGAGGCAGGCTCTGCCCCTGCGGCTGTGGGTGAGTGCCAGCCGCTCCCTGGAGAGCCATTCCCCGGGCACCGCGGCAGTCCCGGGGGAGGACCTCCGCGCCTGCGGACACTGGTGCCTCCCCCACCCCAGGGCACCCAGCCTATTTCCATTTGAAATTATTCTTATTCTGCTGCAGGCTGAGGATGTGGTGCTGGCTTCCATGGCAAGGTGAGGAGCGCTTTGAGCTCCTGAGGAGACTTGTTTCTGGATAAAAGTGGGAGGAAAACATGCTAGTTAGGGCCACAGCTGAATGATGGGCATTTGGGGGGTTTCTTCATCCATCCTTAAGAATCTTGTGCCTGCCATTCATTCATCCATCCATCCATCCATCCATCCATCCATCTTGCAAATAGAGGGCCCACTGTGTGCAAGCCCTGTGTCAGGGGCTGGTGATACCATGAACCAAGAGGGACAAAATCCTTGTTTTCATGGAGATTATTTTCCAGGGGGTGGGAGAAGAAAGACAACAAACAAACATAAAATAATGTCAAGCAGCCTGAGGGCTCTGTCGTGAGTTAAAACAGGGCAGCATGACAGAGTGCGGCTGGGAGGGCCTCGCTGAGTGCAGGCCTGAGCACGAGCACCCGCCAGCCCCCCGAGGAGCCCGGTGGAAAGGAGTTCCCAGCAGAGGGAACAGCAAGCGTGCGGGCCCCTGAGGCAGAAGCCAGCTGAGCGTGTTCAAGGAACCAGCGAAGACATCTGGGGCAGAGGGAGTGCGAGGCAGCGGGGTCGAGCGCAGAGCTTCCTGATCAAGGTCAGGAGCTGAGGTTTGACGCCAGGTTTAACGGGACGCCAGTGGAGCATTGCGAGCAGGGCTGTGAGGTGAGCTGACTCGTTTTTGGGAGGTGAGCCTCGCTGCCGTCTGGCGAGCGGCTTGCAGGGGGACATGGAGTGCGAGCTGGAGATGAGTTAGTGATGGCTCTCATTGGGAAATGGTGGGGTTGGGGACAAGGCATCCTGCGGATGGGGAGCCGTATGCTAGGAGAATCAGTCTCTTCGCTGTATCCCAAGCAGATGGGGAAGGGTTAGAGGGCATGATTAAGGGCCTTTGGAAGGAAACAGCGTCCTAGACGGCCGCTGGGCCAGGGTGAGAGGTCACTCGTCCCACCCTGCACAGTGGGGGGCGCTCTTCCTCCTGGGTGTGCCAGTCAGGGCTGTTCCCATGCAGACGGACTTCAGCTGTGGCCTCCGCTTGGCTGCAGTGCAGTGACCTTGTACAAGTGAGTGTGTCTCAGCCTCTGTTTCTTTATCTGTAAACGGGATCATGAAGCATATGCCCACATTGCCTGGCTGTGAGGAGTAAATGAGCTAACACAGGAAAGCCCTTCTCAGAGGTCAGGTCCACTTCCGAACGCTCAGGGAAGGACACCTGCTGCTGTTGCTATTACTGTTAATCTAACCCTGGGCCCTAGCTGTTCAGACTGCCCACGTGTTGGAAAGAATGGAGCGTAATGGCCTGGCCGGGAGGCTCAGGTAGCTGGAGCATCGCCATGTACACCAGAAGGTTGTGGGTTCCATCCCGGGTCAGGGCACATACCTGGGTTGTGGGTTCGATCTGTAGTCAGAGTGTATACTGGAGGCAACCCATCAATGTTTTTTTTCTCACATTGTTTCTCTCTCCCTTCCTCTCTCGCTAAAATCAATACACATATCCTCAGGCGAGGAGGGGAAAAAAAGAATGGAACTTACCTCCCACACATCTTAGAAGAGGGTGAGTGACATCCCACGTATTAGTCAGCTCAGGCTGCCGTAACAGCGTCCACAGACTGGGCAGCTTCAGCAACAGAAATTTAGTTCCGTAGCTCTGGAGGCTGGGAAGTCCAAGGTCATGGTGCTGGTCAGTTCGGGTTCTGGTGAGAGCCTCGGCCTGCAGACGGCCACCTTCTCACTGGTCCTCACCGGTGGGGAGAAAACTCTGGTCTTTCTTCCGCTTCCTATGAGCACAGCTGTCCCCTCAGATCTGGGCCCCACCCTTAAGACCTCATTTAACACTGATGACCGAGTCTCTGATGCACTCACATTGGGGATTAGGGCTTTAACATTTGAATTATCAGGGGACACAATTCAGCCCATAGCACCCCACATTCTCCCTATGAGAATTCATGTTTTCTTGAACTTAAAATTGGAGTTCCTACAGTTAGTCCCGTATATGTTTGTAATTTCTATAAAAGCCTGTGGAAGCTCTTGTGGTTGAATGTCCGGATCCAGCAGTGAAACCAGACTCTCTGTTTCTGTGCAAGTTCTCCACATAAAACTAACACTCAATCACTTATTCAGCCTGTTGTGGGCCAATTCAGGGATAGAGGAATCCAAAAGAACAAGTGTCCAAGTCCCTTCGCTCAGGTCAAAGTGGGAAGACAGTATTCTGTAGAGTGATGCTGACCACAGCTGGGACCAAGGTTTCCAGGACTAAGAGCAATCAGGAGGGCTGCCTGGAGGAGCTGGCTCCCAAAGCCTTCTGAGAGGCTGAGAGTAGAGTGAAGGGCATTTCACTCAGGGGAGAGCAGCAGAGCAAAGACATGGAGCTGGACATGGGCTGGGCAAGCCCTTGACTGAGGATGCAGGCCCAGAGGGCAGGGAGAAGTGTACTGAAAGAAGACAAAACATAGGAGATGACATCAGATTTGACAAGGAACAGGAGGACTTTGGAGGAGGGACAGAGGCGAGATCATGGGGACATGAAGACACAGGGCAGAGCTGAGACCTTTGTGTAGGAGATAAGCCTTGTTAGAAGTTCTGCGAGGGCCAAGCTGCCTTTGAGCAGAGCGAGCAGGGCCCCAGGGCCCCAGGGCCCCGGGAGACGATCAGAACTATCACACAGGCACCTGCAGCCACTGCCAGGCACCGGTTACTTAGCAGAATCAGGGGACAGGCCCAGGCATAGCCTCGGAGCCCCCAGCAAAGCCCTAGCCCTTGCAGGGGAGGACATTGTCACCTATTCACTCATCCGACAAACATGGATCGCACTCCCGCGGGTGCGGTGCGGGGGTGGGGGGTGTGGTGTGAGGACATGCAGATCCCGCCGCCCGGAACGATGGATAATTAATTAGAGGTGTGCTCGGGCACAGCCGCAGCCCTCCCGGCCTGAGAGCACTAACAGGGCGCCGGCCCAACGGGGGGCATCAGGGACCACCCACTCCGGGTCCACCCTTGGCTGGGGTGCTTCTGTTTATTTCCATCTCCGCTTTCTGCCTCCTCACTTTTTGCAGTGGCAGGCAGCCCTGGGTCCCGGAGGTGTGTGGCTGCTGGGGACATCTCTGACAGGGCAATTATCCAGGTCCAGGCCTGGGG